GTGGCCTAAGTCTTTTCCCAACAAAACCTAGTTAATGTCCAAAACACTAGTTTTTCGATATTCAGATTCAAGATTCAAGATTGCTGGGACAACTGTTTCTAGGCGTCTTGAATCTTGAATCCAGGTCAACAAAAACCTAGTTTTTTTTGAAAAACATATATACGTTGTTGTACTGTTTATCTCCAATCTATGCATATATATATATAAACCAAAGTATTAAAAACACATGAAAAAGGTAGATCTTGGGGGAGCACCATGCCATATATATATATTACAATTTTACTATATATGTGGGTGTGTGTTATACTAATGACCCAGTACCCTTCGCCAAAGCTCATCAGCACTGGCCCGCTTCGGGGTCTTGTCGACGAGGCCCTGGCCCTTGTCTTTCTCCTTTTCCATCTGTTCCATCACCTCGAAGCTGTGCGTCAAGGTGAACTCCTCGTCGTCGTGATTCTCCAAGTGATCCGTCTGCACGGAGCTCTGCAAATTTTCCGGATCCCACATTTAGTGCGACCAAGATCAAGAACTGTCTGAACAAGATTGAACAAGTAGGTTTCCTACATCGTGGATGCTTTCCTCGCTGACAACACCCATTTTTCACTCTGCACCATACAATAGCAACTACACACATTTGGCTGTGGGTCCTTGGAGGCTGGTTCTATTTTTACTGAGTCGGACCTTGACCTGGACGTAGCCGGACCCTGTTAGTCTGCAAATAGCTAACCCGGATCCGCAACAGTTTTATAGAATGAATGGTGCTGCACCAATTTTCATCGCGAGCCTCAGCAGCCGTTGGGGATGTTGGCTGCATATTCCGCTGCTGCGCTTGCGTCCAGCTGCTTTTCAACAAGATTTGCACCTCGCTGCCTGACTCCTTGACGAGGGCAATGACCTCAGGTTTCACGAACACAGGCAGTCACCATCACAGTCCGGACATGTCAATGTTGACACAAAAGCGTTCGCTGAAAAGCGTTGGAGCTGTTTCTTTTTGGGGTGCTCTGTCAACCCCATTGCTACAGAATGTTGTAGGCCACAATGGGCCTGAAAAAGGTGTCCATATAAATATTGTATATAGTATATAGTATACACACGGAATCATATACGGTAAATCTACAGCACACCTTGCAAGTTGTTGAAGGTCTTTGCACTCAAATCGACGTGTCTAGCTTTCCAACACCAGAGTTGAGAAAAGGTCGGATTCATCCAAAATCCTCGATGGTGCATGCTAATATCCTCATCATGGATCATGTGTATCTCCGATCTTCTTTGCGGTGCGATCCCACAGCCACATCACTTCTTGTTACTACTAGTAAGGCACTTGTTACTACTAGCGTGGCACCTGTTACTACTAGCGTGGCACTTGTTACTACTAGCGTGTCATGTTGCATTGATCATCGCGGTAAAGATGGAAATACCGAACGCCGGAGACAGAAGGAGCGAACGTCTCGTGAGTGGGAATCACAAAAGCAGTCGGCCTGCATGGTTCAAATGTCTTTAATGATATCGTAGCAACAGTGCCACAGGGCAAATGCAGTTGAGCTGGTTTTGTAGTGTAACATCCTTAGTCAAACAATCGTTGTGTGGTAATGGCCATTAAAACACCTTAATGGCCAATGGTTGTTGGAGTCAATCGGGCATTGCCTACCTCACCAATCTTGATCCAATGTGCTTCAAAAAAACATCAAAAAACGATGTGCTTCGCCGCTCGTTCCCATTCGTTCAAAACCTCTTCCCTACTCCACAAGGTCGGTGAAGAGGTTTTACAGGAGAAGGCTCCTTCCCCTCTGCAATCAGGTGGCTCTCCCGATGTATGTGGTGAGTTCGGTGAGGTGCCTCAAATCCAAAGCACCGACCCTTGAGGTGCCTCCGACCCTTGAGGCACACGGCCACATAGGGTCCCTCTGTCAGGGAGATTTGTTGGTCTGATTCGAGTATGACAATGGTTTCATATGGTTGTCACAAGGCCAAATGAAAACCTCTGACTGATGGTTGATCGCTGATTCATTTAGTTCGGAGCATGCATAATTCTGTGACCCAAGTTGCACCATGACCTTTTCCACCTGATCGCTTTCCCAATCAGAAAGATGAACTTCCACACACCTCAGATTGGGCAAGAAGGAGTGAAGCAGTACAGTAAAGTCAAGGTGCGCCTTGAAAGCAACAAGCACCCCAAGTAACATATGCTATATTATACCTTATGTCATATACTGTAGTTGCACATATATATATATATATTTTTATAGATGTGAGTGTGGGTCGATCAAGGACAAAAGTAGATCAAAAACATCTGGACCCATGGTGATTTGGAATGGGTGGAGCCGTGGAGCCATGGCACCACTCACCGTTGACCCAACCCATGGTGCCACCATGACCAAGACACCCAAGAACTGGACCACTAACTGGACCCATAACTGAAGGCTGCAACGGATTGTCATGTGTGTGTGTGTATCATGGATCAATTGGATCATTATGGCACATACTTGCCCGCATTCCTTTTTGACCTGGTGTCCTTCCATTGAACCAGTCGGTCCGATCATATCTTGTCCTTCTGACAAGAAGCTCAAGCAAAGACTCTGCGAATGCGAAAATGCCAGTTTCAGAAATATCCAAATTCCTGGGCCGGAGGAGCCTCTGTGAATCAATTATGTCTCACCTCATTAGTCCACAAACAGCTTGAATCGAATTATAGGCAAGTTGAAGCAATACAAAAAACAGATCTGGCCATATCTGGCCAAGATTTGACACCTCGAAGCCGAGTCTGGGCATTATCAGCCAAGTCTCACATGTGTGAACGCCAACATCTCTATGGCAATCTTCAGCTGATCCGGCTGAGTAAGAAGCCTCGACCGGTTGATAAAACTCTACTCCATATGCACCATCACTGCAAGTGTTTGCACATACCCATCCGATTCCTCCAATACCTTCTGAGTTCGATTCCGTCTTGATTTAATCAAAGCAATTCCCACTTGAGGCCATAGCAAAATTGTGGCAGCTTCCCATCCGTTTCCTGGTACCCCCGGTTTTGGGCATGGATATCTCGCCGTTGGAAGAACCATGGCTGGTGGTTTTTCTGCCAAGTGGCTGGATGTACCGCGACATGGCACGCATAAAGGCAGCATGCTGAGCCATCTCTGGCACCTGTGCGAACCTGCAAGCTGAGGTTATGGAAAAACAACATCTATATATTAATATATGTGTGTTCCAAAACATGTACGCGTACTATATATATATATATATGTATTACAGGTTTAGCTCTACACCAGTACACACATAGAATCACCAAAATGAGAGTCTCCCTGTAAATGGGCGATGTGTTCAGTTCTTCCATCCGTAAACAGCGCCCCAAAATGCCCCAAAGTGTGCATGTCCAAGGCGCAACTTCTTAAGCTCAGGCTCCTTCTCAAAAAGGAGCTGGTAGAAATCCTGAGAATTTGGTATTTTTCTCGCTTGTGAGTCTTGGATTACAGCTGTGCTTCAGTACTTTCAGGTCGTGGTTCGCCTTTTGCTGGGTGCTTCAAAGTTGATGGAAACATCTGAAAGCAGGTTCAACCTGGCTTATCCGGCTATCCTGGCTCCTCATCGATGCTTGCTAGACTACCGAAGAAGCCATCTTCCAACTAAGCCTACGACGCGCCCAGCCATCTCGATACCGCCACACCGCTTGAGAAAGTCCGACCACGCATCCTGGCGAAATTTCAAGCACTGAGCACACTCGTCCAATTTGGTCATTTTCGACTAGCCCCTGACAAAACACGGGTCGGTCATGCATACAAGTCACTTACTTGCGGCACTGACGACTACAGCATGCAGCACTTGTCACTCACCTGTGGCCATGAGTCCAAGTTGCTAAATTAGTGCCTCTGTCCTATGGACAACACAAAGCTCGAACAGCACATACTTGGATTTCCCATTTGCAGTGCTGCCGGCATGTCATGTCCCACTGAACTCCATGAGGCAATCAGTTCTGCTTCGGCTTCATGACCATCCATGACCAGTTCTGTGGCGTTTCCCTGGTTTCTCCGGATCGAAGTTCCTGGTTCCAGAAAAAACGCAACGCGCAAATGTTGGTGATCAATCCGAAAACTTCCAGAACAAAAAAAACAGTTCCAAAACAAATTTTCCAGAGGCGTCTGTAAGTCTCATGATGGTTTTGCTTGTGCAATGTTTTTCCCACTGCTTTTCCCATAGAATCCCCCTCATCACCATCCCTACCCCTTCCTGCAGAAACTCAGCATCTTTGGCTTTGAGCCGGAGGGGCTGCAAAGCTACGGCATCTTCAAAGCTCTTGGAGCTTCCAGAGGTGGTGTTGGACTTCACCTTGATGCTGTCGATACCCAGGTTTGGTCTTACCATTCACCGTTAAGACACATGCTGGCTTTGCACATGAGGTGCTCTGATCGGCTCATTCTTGGATCTCTTTAGGGGAGACTGGCTCCTTCGTGCAGCTTCCGATGATATGTATATAATTGCCTTTGTCTCAATCTGACCACGGGGGTGCCTCACCAAAGCATGATTTCAAGTGATATAGTATGATATAGTCGTAAGGGTGATCAATGTCAAAGCCCCTTCGACCACCCCATCCAACCCGCTCTCTGTGGCCAAGTCTCTCGCGAGATCCTTGAGGCTCGCGACTGAGTCTCAAAGCTGCTGCGCTGCTCACCACTGATCTCTTGGGACATGCGGCGCCCGGTGAAACGTCCGAAGGAGTCATCGGATGATTGGCGTGTTGAGCCAACACTTCTGCCATCAGAACACCTGAACGATGATGAACTACCCCGGCACCATGCTGAGTGCTCCTGGACTTACCTCTGGAAGACTTCCAAACATGGCCGACAACTCAGCACACATGCCAACAGATCATGTACATTCTGTAAGCAAAGACAAAAATGATCATTTTAAAACATGATGCTTGATTTTCAATGGTCTTTTGTTACATCTCGGAAATCCCCTGAAACCCCCTTGCCCTTTCCAACACATCAAGCACTGGGGCTCCCAACTGAGCTTCTCGGCTAAACCGCTAGGCTCTCTTTCCGAGACCGGCGAGCGCTCGCCATCTGGAAGATGGTTTTTGCTGCATCATTTGTTGAAGTCTTGCTCAAGGACCTCTATTCCTGATTTCTTTACATATACCGCACTTTTACACAAGAGTGATTCTTGCCATCTGACCTTCATCTCTCTTGTGACTGTTTCTGAGTACTTCTGAGTCTTCAGAGTCCCCGAGTCGTACGCATCAATGAAAGAGTTCCAACTTCAAACCAATAGGCTAAGACGTGAAATACTCTCAAGCCATGTGCAACCAAAGGAAACACAGTCCGGAGTAAGAATCGTCACACACCCAGCTGGTGTTTGCCACTAATCCGCTGGTTATGCCCAGCGACTAGTGGTCACTGGCTGAGGTGCTTGGCGCCTTGGCACCCCGTTGGTTGTATGGAAATCGGCGACCGATTTTCTAGACTCGAGTACCAAGTTCATACAGTAATCTACTAATATGTTGATGGCATCAACTGACAAAATAGATGCTGATAACATCGGCACACATCAAACCCAGGCTTTTAAACAAAAGAGAACACTGAGCTTTGAAACCAACGCTTTCTAGGAAGGATTTGAGACACAATTTGGTCACCGCTATATTCGCAATTGTGGGGCTAGTCGGGGGTCAGCACGTCCATTCGGCAACTCCTGTGTGGCGAGGGGCATCAAAGGGCCATCTGGCCGCATGCGCACCCGAGACTTCCTTAGACACTCAGGGCTTGGCAAAGCAGGCTTCTTTTTTTGGCCCTGGATGCGGGTAGAACTCAACCGTATCTTTCAACATCTTTCTAAACCCCAACCAGCCAACAAAATCCAATAAGAAACAACTGAGACAGGCTACATACAGTTCTTACTTGATGAGCTAGATTCATCTATATAGCCAAGATACTTCGCATCAAAGTCCCACTCCTCGTAGTGACCCTCGAAAAAGGTCTCGAAATCTTTGTTGTTCCAAACCTCTGTCATTTCCGTCTCCGCCATGTTCTTCACAACGCGCACACACACACAACTCAGACCAATCCACAACTCAGACCAATCACACACATATATAATATGTATGTCTGTATATATATATATACACATTAGTTTAAAAAGGACATCACTACTCATGTTTCAACAGCTGTGCCACTTGTCAGCTTCCACAGAGTGCCACACTGCACTACCAAGCATCTGCTGGAAGTATAATCTTACCTCAGGCTTTCTCAAGCTCAACAGCTTAGCGAGCTACACATCCAAAACGATCCCAAAGCCCAAAGCCATCATTGGAAATCATGAGATGTCAAACCAGCCGGATAATCAATCAGTCACAGAATAGTCCCTCCGCGAACAAACTGAGGACCAATACTGACACACAAAAAGAATTGATAGAGAACATTCCCAAAGATTCCAAAAGTGTTGAGTCGCAGGGCGCCGGAAAGCAACAAGAATTAAAATGAATCCAAGACAATCATTACATACAAGATCACACATGTAGTCTTGGCAAGCCAAGGGCGGCAGTTTCCAAAAACAAAGACAACTATAGCAGGAAGAGGTAAGAGGTTCATCGGTTCATCTTTGTGCGACAAGCACTCGTTCCTTTCCTTCGCGGATGCCTGGCCTCTGCGACGAATGCGTGTGTGGTCAACCACTTCAACTCTCGGACTTATGGACTTATATAGCCACTTATATAGCCTTATATAGCTCTTCACTTAGCCACTATCTACGCTAACTCGCAGACTTAGCGACTGGTCTACGCCCGCGCTAAGTATTGCCTGCGCTAACTAATTATTGCCTGAGCATGCCTGAGCTAATTATTTAACTGCTCGTCATTCGTAACTATGGAAGTTTCTGTTCTTAACTAAACTTCCTTTGATATCCTTTGATAAGTACATCACAAACTGAACTCAAGCCTCTGAGCGCCGCACGCTCAAATCAGCCCGCAGATCGCCCAGTTTCACGTAGCCTCAAAAATGCCATGGTTACCTGACCTATTTGTTGTCCAAGCGAAGGTTCCATAGCAAAAGGAAACTACCTTTCCCTGAGCGAAATCCAAACCACCATTGCTGAAGCTTAGCAAGATGCAAAAGTTAATCATTATTGAGCAAAGGAAAGAAAATGCAAGGGCTTGGCATACATCGCCTACAAATTGCAACCAGATCGGCCTCCTTGTGCTCCGCTCTGGCCTTCTACGGCGCCTTTCAGCACCTCCCAACGGAACAAGCTGCAAGCGTCCGGACGCTGAACCAGGTGCAAATGGCCAGAATCTACACATCAATGTCATCAATGAACTAACGCATCAACATATTCAAGACCATGATACATTATGAATCATTATGATACATCACTGCAAGTTCATGTGTCTTTTGTATTTTTCATCATGCTTATCGGATCCTGTGGTGCCCAGGTTATGACGCTTCAACATGTGGCGGCCTCGCTGGTGGTCATGAACTTGTAGGCCTGACTTGTGAGTGGTTCGGGTTCTGCAAACCACGGGCCACGGGCCACTTGAGTCAGAGGAGTCCGAGGAGCGATCACAAACAAGATCAAACAAGTCTTCCCAACCAAACAGGAACATGGGTCCTAACGGAGCTGGACATCCAGCAGATTGGGACGTGGGCGTGTAGCCCCACGACCGTGCCGGTACAACTGAGCTGCACGGTCGTAACTGTCCATGGCGGGAGAAGCAGCTGAGAGGAGTGAGGGCAATCACTTCCCCAGACTGAGCTGAGCATCCACACTGCTGAGAAATCCACTAGAAGGAAGTCTGCAACATCCAAGCTCTCATCTACCTGGGATGTGTGCGCCAGCCAAGCAACAGGCTGCTGATGTATGGCGAAACCCGAGCAACGGCATCATGCCCCCAGACCTTTGCCACATCAATTCCCTCAAACCTTTGGCCAAAGCGGAATACATGGTGAAGTTGCCTCCTAGGCAAGCATTAGGGCCTTAGGGTTCCGTTCACCGGTCAGCTTGGATCAGCACGCAGCCGTCGATTGTCGACCATTCACAGGTCCCACACCCCAGTGTCCGGTGTCCCAAGGGCCCGTTCGGGATGAGGTTTGGGTCCTTTGAGCTGCCGTTCGGTCTGCTCTTCTTCGTTCCATCCCGTTTCCTTCAGGATGTGCCGAGCCGATCTGTGCATACATGGATGTGCCTGATCGTTATGGCCAGTCATGACTAAGACCCAGGATCGGGATGCTGACAACGTCCGTGAATCTCTGGGTCGGAGCACCGCGGAACTTTCAACAAATGCTTCATCACACGCACCGCCACACCTTGCCCGCCATTCGCAGCTGATCAGGACCGCGGAAGGACATGTATCTGCCCGGCCAGAAAGCACCTGCGACTCAGCAAATTGGCAAATTAGCTTGGCACAGAAATGCAAAGAATGGTCATTATATGAAACAAGCTTGTGGGCTTTTGTCTCCAATTTCGTGTCCATGTTACAAAAAATGAAGCCAATCAAGCTCACCCATCAATGCGATAACAGTATCAGTAAACAGTAACACTTAACAGCCTGGGCCTGTTATCTAAAACAAAGTTCCTTGATGAAGGCAGTGTTAGTTTCACGTCAAAGGGCACCTCTCGATTGCCGTGCCTGGCCTTCAAAGCGGTAGGCCCCCTGGCTGAAGGGTGAGGCGCTTACCTAAGCAGGATGACCAGCTTGTCCGCTGGACGTGTTGAAAACAAATCAAGCCCACTGCTCCCGACTCCGAAGTGGTGTAGAAACAAATCGGTCAAACACAAAGCGAAGCAGGCACGTCGATGGCTGCGGGGCGATGCGGACTTGAGAATCAGGCTATAAGGTTGCACCTCTTCATATCCTGAGATCGGCGACTACCCGGAACGTCGCCAAAGTGCTTACGCTTGAGCAAACCTCATGGGCCATAAACCACACACGTGGTTTTTCACACGCCCATGGCCCTGCAAATAGCAGAGGCATAAAATACAACTACAGTGCTGGAAAGTGAGGTGACCTTATAAACACCTGCCTGTGCTTTCCGGATGCGACAATGGGGGTCTTGTAATTCGCTCTGGTGATCTTGTGGGAACGGCAACAACAAGCCTGAGAGCAGCGCAACAAAAAATGATTCGACAAACGTATAGTTTCTCCCTCGTCCACCACGTTCTACTCCCCCAACTCTGCTGCATGCCATTCATGCATAATGATATAAATTGATACAAATTGATTGTGCCAAACATAGCGCTACCTCACCCAGCCCAGAATTCTTGAGCAACAAAGCCCTGGATTGCTTTGGGAGCCACTTTCGGCTCCTGATGTGGCCAGTCCTGATCCTCAGAAAGTTCACATGCGCTTTCAACGGTGTCATCCTCCTCTTGGCCTAGCATGACCAAGCGACTGACGAAACGTGTCCAAATGCTCTGATCGATGTGTTGAATTGGGAATGGGACGTCAAACCTAACAACCACACCCAGGTATGGTATACCTACTTAGGCAACCCCCTGTAAACTATGCTATTCATTTTGTGACGCCGGGAAGCTGAGATTTTGGCGTTTGCGCTCAGCAACGCAGCACTAGGTCACTATATAATAGGTCTCGCTCATCAAATCACATGTGTCATTCTGTTTTTTCTCCCAGCCTGCTTCAAATTGGAAGCTGACATTGATGCCACCTTCCATTCCCTGGCCTGCAACACGCCAAATCCGTTGCAACATGCAAAACACCATAAGCGGGACTCGCTCCACACACCACAGCCATCGCCCAGGGCACCTGCCGTTTCGCGTGCCCGAAGCCGGCACATGTTGTTGACTTCTGGCAGCCACCAAAGCGAGAACTTCGCAGCCTGGAAAAACTCCTGCAGCGAAAGGGAAGGAAGATCGGAGCCGCCGAATCATGGGTACATTTCCCATCATTTCCCCAAGCGAATCTTGGGTCTTGGATGGGTTTTCGACACACGCTTGACATATCCTTGTTCATCACTGAACGGGTCTCTGCTCGGATGTCTCCCTGTTCTGGTAACGACCATATGGTTCTGAATCTTCTGGATTGATGACGTCTCAGGAGAAACCTTCTGCAGCTATGGCTGTGTATGAGATGGAGTCACCTCCTGGCAATTATCCTGTCCAATATGTATATTTACCTGCATGTACCCACATGGTTCTCAATGACCATTGAACACCAGCGGCTTGGGCAAAAAGTGGCATCTCATAACAACTTCACAAATAACTGCATTGGGCCAAATGAGCACAAGGACAAAATCATACCATTACTAAGACTACAAACTTTCTGTCTCTCTCTCTCTCTCTCTTCCAAACTTGGCAGCAGCAACGGCGATACACAAAAAGCAAATTACAAGCCCATTTTTTGGCAACACGCATCAAATGGAACAAAGAGCACAATACAGGGCTTCGTGGAGGCCAAAAATTGCACATACATCCCTGGCCCGCGTACAGTAGCACGACATGCCGAAAAATGCTGAAACGTAGCCCACGCCCTCCCCGTGGTCAAGCCCTTCCTGGAAAGCTATGCCGAGTGCATCATCTCTGGACCTCAAGGGTGTGCCACATGACACAAAGCTAATTACAGTAGAAAACAACTGCAGTACAACCTGTGTGTGTAGATGTCCCACACAGGAACTGCAGTTTGTAGATTCCACGTCCATCTTCTTCCCATGGTGCAAGTGCAGCTGTAACTCCCTACGAGTGTCTCAGAGGCGTTGCTGTCAAGGCTAGGTGCGCGGCTGAACCAGCAACTGATTGTCCACAATTCGGACGAACTTATCCGAATGCCCTGACCGAATCATGCGAATCACGGATTGGTCTTCGTGAAGTCGGTCCCAGACTTAGAGGATCTTGGAGGTCTTTTCACTTTTGATCCAGTATCCGAGCGTCAGGGGAAATGCTTCAGGCCACTTCTGTGGGAAGTGCTAATATGCTAGGGATCAAGATGCCGTGAGCACAACCCGAATTCATCCAAAGGCCCACTGAAATGCCCGCCTAAAGGACAAAGCATGAATTCCTGGAGGGCCGATCGGAAGCCTTTTTCGATCAAAGAAGCCAAACCCTCAGTCTGATCACAAAAATAATCAAAAATAGTATGGCTTAGCCTGCGTTGTGGTGTTCACATTCCGTTCATCCACCAACTAGTTGTCAAGACCAGAACAACCTGTACAACCATGGAACTGGTAAGTATATAGATTGGACCAAATACTGCCGCACCCGCCCCGGGATCGCCGGTTCCGAACCCCATCATCGACATCCACTCCAGCACCGACATAGCACGACATCTGGCGGCATGTGTTTGTCCCAAGTTTGGTGGTCATGAGAAGTGATGAGATGGCTTCGCATAGCTTTGCCGAACTGTCTCCTGAACCCCCCCGCGAAAAACCCACAGGCCCAGGCTTGGTCCTTTGGAATGCTCATCCTGGGCTTGATAAATTGCGTCCTCAGGCACCCATGGGTAGCTAGTTGAGATGGGGGCGGACTACGCGAACCGTGGCCAAACCCTTGCCAATTTGCAATTCAATGCACAGCTGTCGCAAACGAACGTCTTTGGCACACGCAAGAGGAAAAAGGCATACAACGAATGAATATTCAAAGAAAAGAAAGGCGCGCGCTCACACACACACACACACTGACTCTGACACTGTGAAAGGAATTGAATGACAAATGTGAGCATCTAAAAACTTGCACAGTTGGGAGCCAATGAAAGGCACTAATTGTCTTCCGAAATATTCCAACGTCCACTGCCAGAATGAGTTGGAATGCAAAAGAAACGTCGGTGCTTCAGCTGGCACCGGAACCGGCAAGCATCACAACGCGTCTCCCACGCCGAGGCGTCTCTCATCGAAAGACCTTCCCCCGGTCGCTGGACTTCATTGGACCGCGACCGGATGCCACACACAAACACAGCGACCGGATGCCACCGCATTTCGGTGTTGAAGTCATGTTGAACATGTTTGCACGTGCAATAAATGGCGGGTCATACCTGTCAATTCCACCATGTTCCACCGAACACAAGCTTCCAATGTGGACCCCCCAAACAGTATGGCGTAATGTTGCATGCCTGCATGTTGAGGGCCTAGGCCGTTACAACTGACAGGACGTGGAGCAATCCCTCCACACTGTACATGCAGTGGGTCAAAGTGTGTTCCTCATTGTTTCTCTGTGTGCAACTGCCAAGTGACATTGTCAGACCTAGAGTTGAGGAGGATTTGAACAGGCAAATGCAACTATACAGGACCAGTCATGGCCTCCCAAACCGCCCAGCTAGGTCGGGCTATGCGGCAAAGAGTCTCGAGCCGGATATTCAAGCGCTTCCTTTCGATCGCTTGAAGCATCTGATCATAACCTCAAGAAAACATTTGCTGCACGTGTCTGTCAGGAGTGGAAAGGCTGACCAAAACGAAAGGATGGTCCAGGGTTCGTCCTAAAATCTCCTAAATTCTTATTTTTAGCCAAAGACTTGAGAGTCCTTTACCGCAGCAGTGCAGAATTTGAATGACAGCTGTTTAAGGCTGCTTACATGCAACTTTGACATGTTAATGAAATGAAACCTAAAAACACAAAGCATTGCTGCAGAATCATCACTATCACTTTGTGCAGCACCCACACTTGGTGCGATGCTTTGGCGTTTCAGCGGATTGCTGATAGTCTCGTACCTTGGGTCGGGCAGGACAAAGGAGAGAGTAGCTGCAGCTTCCAACAATCCGCAGTCCTGCCAATGCAGCAAAGGTACGCCAAGTTGATCTGACGGATTTTAACTTCTGCTTCTGCTCTATCTGCTGGATGCTTGTCCGGATGCCATTGGAGAACAAGCTTCCGGTAGCCTCAAACATGCTCGAAGCTGTTGGGTCACACGCACATATATAGTGCCCACCAAACGCAAAGGACCATGACATAAATACATCATATAATACGGCAATATATTAATACAGCAATAAAAGCGCGAGTCGTTCTTTCTTGACTGCCTGGACTCAACTCACAACTCCACGCATCCGCGCCGGAGCAAAGATGTCTCATCAGACATCGTCACCGAAAAAGACGTATCCACGGTCCCTGAGAAAAAAGTAAACAAAATAAACGCACGCCCTCAATCCCTCAATTCTAACCAGATCGTCTCAACACCGGGAGTTGACTCCGAACCCAGCAACCCTTCTTGATCGCTGCATCGTCTGCCCGGAGATCGATGCCCAAAACCTGGGTCGAACAAGTCGAAGCTGTTGACCATCGGCGTCAAAGGTGCCAAGAACTGACCACCCTATCCAGGGAGCGGCCCTTGAATGCGGGGCGGAGTGCATGTGGATCATGTGGTAACAAAATGTGACCAAAGGGGGCCCCCAACTAATGGGTATGGCTGAGTCCATTTTACCATATTGTACTCAATCATACACACCCAAATATCCGCCCACCGTAGATCTTGACACCACACGAGGTCTCAAGCGTCCAGCGCAGAAGGCGCAGTTCTGGGCCTCGTAATGGTTTGGTGGCTCATTGGCAGGCTTTGGTGGCGGCTTCGGTGCTATACCTGGGGTAGAGCAACTGCGATTCACAAGCCGCAACATCTGCCTAATGATATAAATTGCCCATGAAATTGCTATGCCTACCTTGTAATATACCCCCGGCAAAAACTAACAAACCAAACCAACATCACTGGTTTGTGCAGGTCAATTGTCCTTCTGTGATCTTTCTTCAGGTTCCAAGCGGGTAAATGCTATGGTCAAAGCAAAGCTTACTTGGGCACCCTTTCAGGCATCAATAAACAGTCTCTCGACGGATCTCGGCTTCTTCGACAATTCCCGCCTTTCCGCGCATTTGCTTTCTCTGCTGCCCGGGCTCGAATCTCCAATAGAACATCCACAGTTCGAGGAGGCATGCCAGGGATGTCCAAAGGCATTCCAGCTCGAGCCACCTGAGCTTTGACTCCCTTGAGAAAGCAACAACAGCCTTAGAATTCAGCATGGACGGAAAATCAACTATTGGAGGCCGTCAGTCTACAATCAATCTTGTTACTCATTCTCCAGCCATTTTTATATATGCATATACTGTGTATATATATATATATATATATGAGCGCAATTCCTGCCGCAGCTTTCCTGGCAAACGGAACGGTGAGGGGCACACTCCTGGAACAGGAACAGGCTCTGGCTCTTCCTTAGTGCACGGCACTAACCAAATCAAAACACATCTCATCTATTTCATCTACCTTTGTCCCAGACCAGTGGACATTGGGGAAAAAGCAATGGCATTAACAACTAAGCGTAACTTGAAGCAACTGTTGGTCAAAACGCTAAGGTCACCATGTTGCGAAGAGCCACCAAAGAACGTGAATCGTTGACCGGTTGAGGTCACTACCGGCTTCTCATCGCCAGCCTTTTGGAAGAGCAACTGGAGCAGGCTTCGGTCCTTGGACTGAAGTGGGGACTCTTTAGCATGTCTAACACCCCAACTCTACTGGCGTCCCTACCCTAACTGAGGTCTCTATTATTGAGAACTTCAAAAAACTTGTCACGACAAAATCAAACGACATTCAAGGGCTCAAAGCAGTTCCAAAGAACTTCGAATCAATTCTTGGCAAAATGGTGTGTGGCAGCTTGCTGTGCAGCATATTAGCCCCAGACGTTGCGCAGCGGAACCAGAAAAAAAACAGGCAATCACGGGATCATCCAAGAAGAAAGGACAACTGTTTGTAGCAACAGATAGCAACAACACGTGAATGCTGTTGCAAGCTTAACACATGGTACAAACACAAGACGCAAGCCCCCAAACATCTTTCAAACAGACTTTCCTCGTGTTTCAGTTGAGTGCCCTTGTGCCACTTCCAGCTTGCACCACACAGCCGCCAAAGCACCCCAAACAAATTAATAATCTTACCTTAGTTGCCTTAGTTTAAAGTTTTCCCGCAGCCAGCTACCCCAGCACCAGCACCCCAGCACCCAATGGTCCAAGTTCTCCCAGCTTTCTCGATTTGGCCTCCGCCTCTTGCTGCCAAAGATGCTGAGATGGAAACAGGAAGTCAGGAACTTAGTCGTTTTACTGCCTCTTCTGCGAGAGAAACGCCTAATTAAACTACCAGCATTCTTGCAAACTGACCCCCTTCCCAACATCCCCGTTCGAAGCAGTCACTGCCACTGTGACTGTGGTGGGTCGAAAAATCAAAGCAAAATTGTCCGGATCATTCTGTGTGGCCTTACTACTAGGAGCAAGGACTCCTGGCATCGCTACTAGGAGCAAGGACGCTACTAGGGGCTTCTGGCCTTACTACT